GCAACCTCACAGCTCCACTGACAGGGAGAGGAGACACTGCGAAGAAAGCTCTCAACACCACCCTGAGCACTGGCTGCGCACCTGGCACGTGGCAGCTGTGTCTCCACTCTCATCAGGCGTTTACCACGAGTGGGCCTTGTGCTACATCTCGGAGCCCCAACATCTACTACATGGGCAGCGTCAGCCCTGTTCAGAGAAGCAAAGCAAGGAACTTGGAACTGGAGTTACTTTCCAAGACCATTCAGTCAAGCCTTTCTAGCTTTTAATATTCACTACTCCTGTGGCCTCTGAAGGACTGGGAAGAACTGAGTCCAAGCTTGTTGACCAAACCATCTTTCAAAGCCTCCAGAGCCCTCCTCCCGTCCAATGGCATCAGGCAGTGAAAACCCACTGTCACCAAGATGGTTCCAATTCACAGCTACCTTCTGTTGTGTCTCTGAGTCTATAACTCTGAATGGAAGGAGACTGTCCTCCTCTCATCTGCAGAGCAGCTAGTGGATTTGACCTGTTGACCTTTCAGCAGCCAAGTAAGTTCACACACTTTACTACAAGACTCCTAAGGAATATGAACACATAAAATAAAACAAACAACAACAAAAAGATGTCATCAACTAAAATGGCCCCAAAGAGGTCTCTCAGCTGTAATCTTATAAAGTTGGCAGATTCCCAGATCTTTTCCTTCAAAGTTCCTGGGCAGGTTTGAGTTGTCTTTTGGCTAGAAAGCCAGCGCTTACCCACTGCCCCACCAGGGCTCTTTGCCAGTGTTGTAAGAATGTTCACTCTTCCTTAAACTACAGAATCAGGGCTTTGTTAGAAACTCAAACACATGCTGGACGTCCATCCACCGCCATGAGACTCTCCTTGTGGTTGACCGGCACAGGAGAAGGTCACAGAAGGCCACCATCAAAGCAAAGCATTTTACCAGCACCACGAGATGCTTAGGAAGACCCTGTCCTCGGGAGATATGCAGGCCAATCAGCACAAAACACTTCACAGAGACAATGTTCTATAGCCTAGTTTGGTGAGTAGCAGCTGGTGACTTAAAAGCTTGCAAACAGCCGTCTAAGATACGACTGGTCTCTTCCCATCTAGAGCAAAGGAGAGTGAAGAAACCAACAACTCAAGGACACTATTAGCTCATCAGACTCTCAGCACAGCCTCAGCCAGTCGGAGACCAGCTCTAACCAGGGACACGAAAGAAGGTCCTTGCTAGACTGGTAGGACAAAACGTAGATCAAAACATAAATTAATAGTAAAAAAGATCAGATTTACTAGAATAATGGAGAGAAAGAAAAACCCCTGAGAGGTACCACTCCAACACAACCTTTTTAACCTAGATGTCAACTTTTGGGCAAACACCACACTGGCCTATAAAGTAAACAACAATGCCTGTGAGGAATGTGATCCTTAGAAAGCACCCGTGTCCTGGAACAAAGTGTGTATGAATTGCTGAGAGAGAAATTAACTCACTGTGGAAACCTTCAAATAAAGCACAATTCAATTCCAGGTGACAGAAAAAAGAAAAAAGCTGGTGCTGTTACTAACGTACTGTTGCTTCAGAACTGACTCATAGTACCCCACCCCCCCAGCATTGTTTTCAGGGATTATAAACCACAAAGGAAGAAATTTCCTATCTTTCTCCCATGAAGGAAGCTGATGGATTAGAACTGTGTGACTATCATTTGGAAGCATAACTCTTTACCCTGTAGGCTATCAGAGTCCTCTTAAAAAAAAGAGAGAGAGAGAAAAGATGCTTTATAATAACCACTGACTGAAACAAAAGGTTAAAATCCTTCCAGTCTGCAGATGGCTCAAGATCTTTACTTTTAAGACAAAGTTGCTCAGAAATACCAAGTTTATTATGTCCTGAGGCCTAGATGGTCACAGGTTGATCTTATTGCTGTAACCAGAAATTTTCCCAAGCAAGATCCCCAAGAAGAGATTTTAAATACGTTACAGAAGCTCAAGATACTGCACGAACAAGTAATGCAGAGTTGCCTCCCTACAGAGACTGAGGAAACGGCGAGGCCCTGGAAGCTCAAGAGCTGTGCCTGCACCCAGTCTGGGCAGGGCAGAGCAGGGCCTGGCCTGGTGCCCTGGCTGCCACTGCTTTGTGGGCAGCTTTCCGGCACCCCAACTCTGCCTCCCTCGCCTGTTCCTACTGTCTGCACCTCATCCTCCAGAATCCAAAAGATTACAAGGGGGGGGGGGGCGCAGATCATAAATCATTTTTCTCACGCAAGTTTATGGTGTTCTTTTCTAAGGAGTTCAAAAGCGCTCAGTAATAAACAGAGGTGATGAGTTTATGTCTTTTGCTTTTAAAAGCAAACTTTATTTGGACTCCTGGAGAGGCCTTTACTTTTTTTTTTTTTAAATTTAGGACATTCCTCTCTTATTTCAAGGCTTTGCCCCCTGGCATGTTCTGTGGGAGGGAGGGGAGGAGTGTGTCTGGGAGCCCAGCCCTCCCCCACGCTCTCACAGGCTTCTCTGGAGGCCTGGCCTGGCCATGGTGCCTGCCAGACTCCTCCTTTCTATGGTTTTCAATAAGTCTCAGCACCGATGTGGAGGAATTCGCCTACCCTTATGGTAAGGAGGTGTGATGTCAACCCAAAGGCAAGAGGTTCAAATCCAATAGCTTCTCTGCACAAGAAAGACAGATGCTTAATCGTCTCCTATGCTTTGTTGTTGTTAGTTCCTCCCCTTTTGTTGTTGTTAGCTATGCGTGAATCCGAACCCAGCCCCAGCTGACCCTTCAGTGGGTTTTCAAAGGATGTGAACTGCATGGGAGGAGACTGCCCATCTTTCTCCCACTGAGCAGTTGGTGGATTCGAACCACAAGCTTTTGGGTTAGCAGCACCACTCCTTACCACTATGTCACCAGTTCTGCCATGCTATATATTGCTTCTGAAAACCCACTGAAGGGTCAGCTATGAGTTGGTTCCAACTCAACAGTAAACCACAACAATGTTGACTAATTAGGTCCTCTCTCTATTGTCTGACTCTTCTGGCCACAGTGTCTATGGCTAGAGAACCACATCATCGTGCTGCACGTGAGGTGCACTCTGCCCTCTCTAATCTCTGTCTACTCTTGGGGGTTTCCAAAGAGAGAATACACAGTCCGCACAGTTCCCAAAACTCAAGCTGAGGACACAAGCACACTTTAAGGAGGATCAGCGAGACACCTGGCCCCTCCTGTACTTTCAAGGCTTCAAACACAGGTGAGGCTGCCTTGGTTTGTCTGGCCTGAGCTCTCCCACTAATGATCTTTCTTCGGATGAAACCACAGCAGCATGGCCACCACGTGGCCTTCACACACGGCAATGTGGTGGGCTGGTGCGCGGCTGCTCGCTAAGAAAGAACGACCACATGCTTGGCTTCTGGGACTCCCCATTCAATAAATACTTGGTGAATGAATAAACTCAAGAGGGTATTTAATGATGCTGTAGAAGTGGAGCGTTTTTATTCCCCCGGCTTCACAAACCAGCAGGCTTGACCTCCTGAAATGGTCCACGTGAAACCACTGGATGGTTGCTCCAGCTGGACGAAGAGGAGGAGGAGGATACGACTGGGTTCTTGTGAGTGACAGCAAGAAGTCCCTTCATCATTAAGCCAGGAAAGAACAACGAGGTAACCCGTGATCCCTGTGCCATTTTCAGATGCAGCAGATGCAAAGGCAGAATCCTATCAGATGAGGGCAAAGAAACTTCAGCCGAGATGCTGAACCCTGCACAGATGAAATACGTTGTTGTTGTTGTGTGTACCATAGAGCTGGAACTGAGCCATAGCTCACCCTCCAGAGGGTTTTCAGAGGCAGTTAATCATAAAGGAGGAGAATGCCTATCTTTCTCCCACAGAGCAGCTGGTGGCCTCAAACCACGTGCCTTCAGATTTGCAGCACAGTTTCTTGCTACCTAGGCCACCAGCACTCCTGCTGAAAAGATTTTATTTTCCTAGGAGAAAATATTGTGTCAGGAACTCAACACCTACAACGAAGGCTCTGTTACTAACCTTTGGATGCAGCTGGCATTTCTCCTGGGAAAGCACTGAAATAGTCACAGGGGGCCCAGGAGGTCACTGCTCACCTCCCACCACTAAGTAGCTCTAACCAATGTTTTAATGATGAAGTATCGGGATTGGGCCGCCTAAGACGTCTTACTTCAGCTTCTTGAACTGTAAACTAAACAGGTAATAATTATTCCTGTGCTTTTTCCTTAATCAAAGAGCAGGCAAGCTTGACACATGCTTTGAAGCTCCTCAGAAGATAAGATGCATTGTTGTTGATAGGTACTTCTAAATGACATAAGAGCCAGTGGCTGCAAACATTTCTGGAGAGCTTACTATGTGCTGGTTTTTTTTTTAATCTCTTGTCATCCTCCTAACCGTCCAGGTGATATATTCTGATACAGGGCCATAATTCCTGCCTGCTATTCCCAAACCAGAAATGCTCTAAGACCCCAAAGATTTCACATCATTTATCTGGCAGCAAAACTAAGAGGCTATGAACACATTTGGAAACAAAGTTGACATGACCAGGCTATTTAGATTTTCATTATCTCACTCATTGTGAATGGTCCTATGTTTGCTATGCAAAGGGCATCAGAGCCCCATCACACTAAGTCTCTATGGCTCCTTAAGAGTGTCTGATAAGGCACTGTGAATCTCTACTATTGACCCATTTCACAGATAAGAAATGAAAAATCACCCAGGGGAAGCCACTTGTCTCCAAGGCCACACAGTAGAAAAGTGGTGGGGCCGACTCTGAGGCCGACAAAGCTCTACGCAGCCTGAGGATGTAAGCTGTGTGCTGAGCCGTCACAAGACCTTAGTTCTCCAGCCAGGGTTTCAGTTAGGGAAAGGACACTGGAAAAGCACTGCTCCCTAAAAACAGGTATTTTCAGGACAGGGGACGTGGAAGGATGGTGACTGCCAACCAGGGTCAGAGCAGTCTGGCTGAAGGCGGCAAGCAGAGGAGGCAACAGGAACATAGGTCTGGTGCTTACCTTGCCCAGGACAGTGAGGCATGGTTTGGGGTCCAGCTCGGGCTGTTCCAGCTTCACCACTCCTACCCAGCCATAGTCATACAGGTCCTCTTCATCATTGTTATTACACAGGCCCAGTGGGTGCATCTAGGAGAACAAGAGTGGGGGAAATCAACTTAATACACAGGCTGCAGATTAGCTCGATGTCTTTTTAAGAAAATGTCCTGGATTTAACACTTAAAACTTTAAATGTAAGAAGGGAGCAGTTTCTCGGTCCATGGGGAATGCTATGGCAGCACAACGAGTTGAGTGCTAGGAGGAACAACAGAGCCACTATAAATATATTTTATGGATACTGTCTCACTGCTTTGTACGTAGTGGTCAGCCAAGGTGGACACCACCCTGACAAACGTTGGGAAAGAAAAACAGCCCAGTTCCCATGCAAATGTCCATAGAAATGGGCTGTGAAACACCATAAATCTAACGTTACGTGCCAATTACAGGTGAGACTAACTAGATTAATGTCCGAGACAGGCTCCCCAACCTGGATGACACATCAACTTCGGCTAAAGAATCCAGAAAGCCGTCCAGGACTATAGGAAGAGCCCATCCACCAGCGAGGTGGCAGAATCCCCAATGATTAAGGTTGTTTAGAGGCTACCCTCGGTCACCGGGAAACAGAAAAACATCTTTGAGGCCTTTTCAAAATTTGCCAAGTACGAGATGCAAGGTAGGGAGAGAAGCAGTGCCAAGTTTCCTCCAGTTCCCCAGAGGTCACCTCTTAGGGACCCGACAGATTTACATACAAAGTAGAGGCCACACTGACAGTCCCCGAAGAGAGTGAAGAGAGGCGTCATGCTTGCCGGAGGGGCAGCGAGAAAGAAAAGTCTTAACAAGATGGGCTCAAGACAACAGTGCGGATGCGCTGGACCAGGCAGCGTTGCTACTGTGCAGAGATGCTGTTTGTCGTACAGGGTCCAGCCAACGCCACAGCGTCTGAGGACAACTCAGTGCTTTGTAAAATCCCATCTGGATGAACCCAGAAAGTCAACAATTGCTGGAAAGTGAAGGTGAGAAGATAAAGGGGGCAGGGAAACCAGAATACTGGAAAACAGACCACCAGATACAATGAAAGAGGGAGCTGATACATTGTGGAAAATGTAACTAATGTGCTAAACCATCCTAGAGAAACTGCCACATGGGAACCTAACTTGCTATGTCAATTCTCAGGAAGACACAGTGTTATAGAAACAAAATGGGGATTTTTAACTGTAAAGTGTTGTTCTTTTGAGGCACAAATGGAGACTTGTACACCAATGTTCACAGCAGTGTTGTTCACCATCGCAAGGACATGAAAACACCCCAGATGTCTAACCATAATTAAATGTATTGACAATACGCAGCACGCAGAAGCAATGATTTTGTAAATTTTTACCTAACTTGGGAGGAACTGGAGAGCATTAAGCTGAATGAACTAACTCAGTCACAAAAGGACAAATATTGTATAAAACCATTATTTTTGAATGAGTCTGAAGATCCAAGATCCAAACTGGGGGGTGAGGGTGACGGAAGCAGAGGGAGGAGAATGTGGGGGGGGGGTTAATCATGAGGCTATAAAATTTGATAGGTGCAGGTGTGAGAGAAATTGGAAGAATCTGGTCTAAAAAAATGTATTCAAATTTGTAAATAAACTAGTATAAATTAAAAAAAAAGTTTAAAAATGTTGTTTTATTGTTTTGTGCCCTCCAGTATCACTCATAGAGAACAGCCTACCTGAACCCTGTCCTATCCTGTGCCATCCTCACCATCTCTTGACACAAACTAGGGTACCGCATTGGGGAATTGATATACATACTGCTAATTTTGAGCTTGGATATCTGTATTCTTGCTTGTTTATCATTATCGTTCAAATGCCATGGTGGACAGGTTTTAGTAGAGCCCCCAGATAATCACAGATGAGGGAGAAGGACTGGCCATCCACTTCTGAAATAATAGGCCTCTCTGGTAACTCTATGAACAAGTACAAGTGCAGTCAGTGTAAACCTGAAAAGCAGAGCAGCCCTGAGGTTGTGAGTTCACACGTCTGTCATGGTTATCAGACCTCTAAATCCTTGGTAATAGTGAGAAGTAGAATCTCTGTGGATCAACAGAACTCAGGAAGAGCTTGATGAGGCCAGCACTGTGCTAAGCCCTTTAAATATATGGAATAAATGGGGCTTTAGATTTACAGTGCATTAGAGACATAAGAAAGAGCCTCAGTGGCACAGTGATTAAATATTAGGCTGCCAACAGAAAGGCTGGAGGTTCGAACCTCAAAACCAATCTGTGGGAGCAAAGATCTGGCAATCTGAGGAAACGGTATAGGGTGTTCTGCTCTGTCATATGGAGTCTCTGTGAGGTGGGCTCCAATTGCCATGACATGGAAACAGCAGTCTTAAAGAACATACCAAGAACATACCATGAATGGGTTTAGGCACAGCAGATTGTGAGAATCAGGCACACAGGGTGCACTGGAGCCGAAGACAACCACCACAATGATGTCCAGGTCCTAAACACCCAAGCCCGTGAACCTGTTATTTCATGTGGCAAAAGGGCTTTTGCTGCCAAGATTAAGTTTGAGAAGGGAAGATTAATGTGGATTATTCTGAGTGGATCCAAGGTAATCACGCAGGTCTTTATAAGGGAAAGGGGTGGGGCAGGGAAAACAGAGGAAATTCAAAGAAGCAGAGGTTGGAATGATGTACTTTATAGATGGAGGGGAGGGCTGCGAGCTAAGGAATGCAGGTGGTCTTTGGAAGATGGAAAAGACCAGGACACAAATTCTCTTCTTGGAGCCTCTAGAAGGAGCCTTGAAAGTACATTTTAAAGGGCAAAGTAGGGTTGCCTGAAGTCATTAAGTTTGAGCTAAATTGTCACAGCAGGAATAGGAAACAAACAATCCTACATTTCACAAATAAGATAACAGGGGTTCAACATAAGTGGCTTTTCTAAGCAAATGGTGCACAGGAAGACGACCTCGCCGTGACTCACATCCAGTGCCTTCTCCATGTTACCTATTCATCATTCCTTCACTTGAGAGCAAGTCACCTGAGTGGGGAGAAAAATCCAAGGAATAAAAATTTTAGGGCAATATTATTTCCAGCTCTAAATTTTGCAGTACTGGTGGTGTTATGGGCCATCAAGCCAACTATGATTCACAGCGACCCTACGAACAATGGGTCTAAATCCTGCGCTCTCCAGAGCCAACCTCAACATCTCGGACACTCTTGACCCATTGTCACAGTCACTGTGTCAATGCATCTCATCCGAGGTCTTCCCCTCCTACACTGAGCCTCTACCCTTCCAAACATGGTACCTTTCTCCGAGGACTGGTCCTTCCTGGTGACATATCCAAAGTATGTGAGCACAGTATTAGAGCCTAACAACAAGCAGGAGACCCGGGTTCAATTCCCAGTCAGTGCACCTCAAGTGCAGTCACCTCTGTTAGCGGAGGTTTCAGCAAAGTTTCCAGACTAACTAAAACAGACTAGAAAGAAAGATCTGATGATGAACTTTTCAAAATCTGCCAAGGAAAACCTGTGGGTCATAAGAGATTTTGCAGTGTACCATTGACTTGGAACCTAGTCACAGCTGACCGTCCAATGGGTTTTCAGAGGCAGTAAATTGCACAAGAGGAAGACTGTCCCTCTTTCTCCCACAGAGCTGCTGGTGGATTCAAACCATGTGCCTTTGGGCTGGCAGCACATCTCTTTACCATTAAACCACCAGAGCTCCCTATCTAAAACCAGTCAAGGGTCCGGTGCAGACAAGTGGTGCTTTGTTACATTATTAATGACATCATCACGTGTTATGGGCTGACTAGGTAGCAGCTAACAAGGAAAATGTAACAAGGATTTAGTGCAGGCAGTGAGAAGTATTAAGCAAGAGTTGCTGGAATATTTGGGGGAGTTTCTGTGCAATCGCTGAGCCTTACAATTGAGCTCTTGAAGGAAAAGGCAAAGTGGATGGGGTGAAAGGAGATAGCACAATGAGCTGGACCAAGTCTGGGGAAGAGAGAGCAGCTAGGGCTTGAGTGGAAGGAAGGAGATAATGAGGACTTGAGAGGAACAACACAATCAGACTGGTTGATACCAGATAGCCCAATGAGAAGGGAGCTTGCAGACTAGAAAGAACTCTGGACACCAAGAGAGTCTCTCACATTCTCAGGTTAAATGGCATGTGACAACCAGTATTTTATGCCTGAACTCAAGATACAGAACTGAGATGCAATCTAGAGATGAGGGAACTGTGCCCATTCCAAGGAATAGCGTGGAAGGGGTTGTACAAATCCGCCAGATGTTGAAGTGTTACTACTCCTTAGAGGCAAAGATGCTGAAGCTTCGTCTCTCATATATGGGGCATGTTGCTAAGAAAGGTTATTTCCTGGAACGGCCCATCATGCTTGGAAAGGTGAACAAGAGGAAGACTCCCAATGAGATGCACTGACACAGTGACTATAGCAATGGGCTTGAGTGTGTCAGAGATGATGAGGACAGGCAGGGTTCAGATCTGTTGTTCATAGGGTCACTGTGAGTTGTATTCGACTCAACAGCACCAAGCAACAACACTGCTAAACAAGGTGTTGGGCAACTGTCTTTACAATGAGGGCAGCAGGAGGGGTCTCAGCACTCATTCTTGGGGACATTCCAAGCCAAGCCAGAGAAGTCCTGGGACATAGAGTTTTCACATGAATCACCTGGCTCAAGGAGGGGGTGTACAAGTGCAGTGGGCAGTGCACCCTTCTCTCCAGGAAGCCCCTGCACGACTGAGCCCACTCTGGGACAGTCTATGGTTCTTCAGTAATGAGCAACAGCTTGCAATGCCAAGACCCAAAGCTACAGAGAGAATTAAAATTAACAAAGATGAGAAAGCCAAGTGCGCTACGCTCAGTCACCTTGGCCTCCAGGAAAGGGGTCAAGGGCTGGCTCACATCAACTTCCACAATTCCGGGTCAAGTCTATGGCAACCATATCACTGATCTTCTTCTACAGTATTTTTTATGGAGTTTCACAGAGGAATGTAAGTGTGTGATTTGCTGGTTTCAGAGTGATGACTGTTTCTTGATTACTAAGACACACATTGGATCTGACCACTGGAGAAGTGCTGAG